GGTGGAAGGGGTAAACAAGCTAGTTTAGGTCTCTTCCACACAGGCACTGATGCTGTTCATGGTGGCTTTACCCTCACACCTAATTATCTCCCAGTGGCTCCACCTCTTAATCCCATCACCTTTGGGCGTAGGATGTTAACATTTCAATATATGAATGAGGGGGCTTGAAAAACATTAAGACGGTAGCAATGTTTTATTTATTTATATTTTTATATTTTTGCCAGCGAATGTGTGTGCTCACTAGAGAGAGAAGGAGAAAGATTAGGAGAGAGCACTGGCCAGTGGGGCAGGGTCATGATAAAGTCCTTTCTCCATTTCCTAGTAAATTATAATTTTATTTGTTCTACTGAGCAGCTGAAGTTCAACACATTTTTATTCATTTTGTACAATAGGCACTATGGGATTTGGGGCACGTATGCGCATGAGCCTGGTGTGGTTTTTCAAGCCATCAGGGCTGGGATTTAAACCGTGATTGTTCATGTGGAAACCAGCTTTCTTTCTTTCTTTTTTTAATAACTGATGCAGTTTATTTCCAAGCAGAGTACGAGTGACCTAGGCCCAGAGAGAAGGCAAACATGCCTTTCTCGGGGTGATCAGGTACAGGGGCTCCTTTTATTTGATTTTGAGAGTGACAGACAAAATTAGTGAAGAGACTTCCATTGGTCTGGCCCAAAAAAGGCGGGACGCAAGGAAGCAGGAGCTTATAGGTTATAGGTGGGTTCCACAATTTTTAAACTGGTGATTGGAAGGGAAGATCTGTGTCTTGGGAAGAGATTTGTAAAAGAAATGCTTAATCTACATCTCAAGGAAAGGGAAGTTCTGTGTCTTGGGAAGAGAAAAACAAAAGAATATACTGTAATCGGCCAGCTTTCTTAAGCACTAGGCCATGAGGCCAACCCTCAATTTTTATTTTTAAGCAACCAAATTACATCATGATATGCCAAATCTGGGTTTAGCTCTCAAGCAAGATGGATGTAGATTGTAGCAGAATACCCATGTACACCCACACCCACTCCACTGAGTTGCTGACCCTGGAGTCACCTTCCAGAGAAAAATATGGCTTTTATTTTAGAGAGATTTTTGTTATAGGGCATGTGCGCTTGCTGGAGAGACAGCAAGAGACAAAGAAATAGAAAGTGAGAAGTTACGTCCTAGGGAGGATGATCGCACCGCAATTCCTTTTCCTCCATTCTCCTCTCGGAATTTTGAGCATGCACACACGTGTCCGTCGTGTATTTTAAGCCACTGGGTCCAGGACTCGAACTGTGGTCAACTATGGGGGAGTCCAGCGATGTAATCATTATGCCATCTTCTGATCCCCCAGAACAGCCTGGTTTTAACTCAGCCTGTTGAACTCTGATAACTGACTGACCTGCGATGGCGTCAGTATTCGCAATTCTCATCCCCATCATCTTATATTTACACTTAGCGATTTGTCATATTGGAAAAAATAACAGATGCAAAGTCACAAAACATTAATGATGTCGATTTCAGTGAGAGTTCACCGACAGACAAAGGTTTTCCTCTCACACCATACTTTGAGACCTTCACAAAAGTCCTTTTAAATGCCTACATTCTATTTTTCTCTGTAGAAGATTGTTCTCTGAAAGCCACGGTTGCTTTTCCTTTCTCCCTCTTTTTCCCCCACACAGTGTCTAAAACCTCGGAAGAAGTTAGTTCTGGTGCTCAGTGTACACTCAGCAAAATAAAGTCATGGTGGTATACTCAGATGACAAAGTATTACTCAGTCAAGAAAAGGAATGAAGTACTGATACCTGCTGTCATATGAGTATGTTCGTCCATGTTCCAGCATTATGCTAAGTAAAGAAGCCAGGCACAAAAGGTCAACGATTGTATGGTTCCATTCATCTAAAACATCCAAAATAGGCGAAATGCAGATCGGTGGTTGCCAGGGACTGAGGGAGGGTGTGGCACAGAAAACAATGAGAACGACTCTTTAATGGAAATGTCTAGGATTTCCTTTTGGGGCGATGATGTTTTGAAACTAGATAGAGGTGGTGCACAACTTTGTGAATGTATTAAATGTCACTGAACTAATCAATTTAAAATGATTAAGTTTAGGGTTGGCTCATGGCCTAGTGGTTAAGGGAGCGGGATTCTCTCATGGCTGACTGCAGTTCGTATTCTAGCCCTGGCAGCTTGAAAAACACACCAGTACGTGTGCATGTGTGCCCCAAATCCTGACAGAATGGGGACATGGAGAAGGGATAGCTGCGTGGCCTTTCCTCCCTGGGGGAACTGGGTATTTTCTTGCCCCAATCTCTCTCTACCCACAATTCTGAGAAGAGAAGGGAGGAGAAGGAATTGTGGCATGGCCATTTACTCTGGGGGGCGGTGAGCATAGACACCTTCTAAAAATTAAAAGAAAAAGATTAATGTTATGTTATATAAATTCACCTCAATAGCAAAATAAAGCAAGGCAGTGTGCTTCCCAGCACGGCCATTAGAAAAGAGACTAACAAACATTAGTACTCAACCATGTCTCTTGGAATTCTACTCTCTACTCTAGACAGTTTATGAAAGTATTTTCTCAGCAACCCAAGGAGAAATGAAATTCCATGTCTAGGAAAATAAGATTTTACTTTCCCATCTACCCAAGAAAAAATTCGAGGCAGAGTAAGGTCGAGGCAGAGTAGGGTCCTAGCAGAGTTGCTGTGTTAACCCCCCTCGGCTGGACCAGCAGTTTCAGAAGTTTGCCCCAGTCCAGAGAGGAAGTGGGAATGGGCCGTGCAGGGAGTCACACCAGGGCGAGTCCCTTTAGTGAGGAGGCTCAGTGTGATGTCACGGGCTTTGGAGAAACTGAGCTCATCAGGGGCAAGAGCACCAGCGCAGGTCCCTGGCTCTGGGCGGGGAGGAGCGGGGGTAGTGAGGTGCTAAGACTGAAAAGCAGAGGGGTCTGCCATGCCAGGCCAGCCTCCTCCTGCCTGTACTAAAGTCGCTGGAGGTATTCCACACACTCACCTGTTTCTGTGATTTTGTGTTTCTGGTGTTTTACTTTTGGAAAATACAATTTGGTCTCGGTTTATGTCAGACTGCCTATTTTGGCTACTTAATCTGTTCAGCTGGTAACAGATTCAAGAGACAGAAGGCATTGTCTCACCCCTTGGTCAAGGTATGAAGGAGGGAAGGAGGTCATGACAACACCAGCTGATATTGTTTACCATGTTCCCATATTTTATGTTTAACCCTCACAACACTAGAAAACACACCTTATTGTTCCCATTTTACAAATGAGGAAACTAAACTTGGGTTTAGAGAAATAAAGTGACCATAGATTCCAGGTGAAATCCAGGGGCACTGGGTCTGGTAATGAGATAAAATCCAAAAAGAGTTGCTGGAAATAAAAATGCTCATAATTTTGTCCTGCTCCCACTCCTTCAGTTCCCCCAAAATATGCTTGTGTCCTAACCTCCAGTACCTGGAATGCAGTCTTTTTTGGAGAGAGGATCTTTCAGAGGTTACAGGTTAAAGTGAGGTCAGAAGTGTAAGCTTCAATCCGATATGATGGTGCCCTGGTTAAAGGGGAAATTTGGGGCACTGGGACAAATGCCCATGGACGGAAGATGAAGGGAAGATACCAGGAGGAGATGGCCGTCTATAAGCCATGGAGACAGGCCTGGGACAGACCTTTTCCTCATGCCCTCAGGAGGAATCAAACTTGCCAGTATCTTGGAGAGGTTTTTTTTTTTTTTTCTTTTTTTTTGCTATAGGGTGCGTGCGCTTGCCAGACAGACAGAGAGAGACAGAGAGACAGAAAGTGAGAAATCACCCCCCAGGGGAGATGGCCACGCCATAATCCCTTCTCCTCCATTCTCCTCTCGGGATCTTGGGCATGCACGCACACCGGGTCCGGGACTCGAACCGCGGTCGACTACATGGGAGTCCAGCGACGCAGCCATTACACTAACTGATGGTCCCAAACTTGCCAGTATCTTGACCTCAGACTTCCAGCCTCCAGAGATGTGAGACTCAGATCCTATGGTTTAAACCTCCCCGTTTATGGTGCTTGGTTGTAGCAGCTCTAGAAACCGATCGCAGGGTGGAAAGAATGGTGGGGAGTGTGGACAAGGGTTCCTTCCTCGTGGGAAGGGGCAGCATGTGAACGTCAGTGGAGAAACTTCATGGAATCCCAGCCCCACAGCTCAGCGTGGCTCCCCTGGGCCCTGCGGCAGACCGCACAGGGAGCCTCAAGGATAAGAACGTGGCTGCTGTGAAGGAGAAATCCAGCGTGAGCACGAGCCCTGGGAGTCTCCCTACCTGGAAGGCGACGGCTGTTGTGGGCTGAGAACATTAAAATGCCATGTGAAAGGGAGGGCGGGTGTGCTTGATAGTCTTCCGTGCCACTCTCTTTTCTCATTCTGATTGACTCGGATAATTCCCAAATAAATAGGCATGAATTTAGGCTACTCTGAATTGAGTTTTGCTAGAAATAAAAAGTATGCACCATGTTTTAAGGAAATTAAAAAAAAAATCTCTTTATATTAGTTTCCCACGTCTGCTATAGCAAACTTCAAATTTGGTGATTAAAGACATTAGAAAGTTATTCTCTGTCAGCACTAGAGGCCAAAAGTCCACGAACACAGTATCAGCCCGGGTGTGTGTGCGTGGAGGGCGGCAGGGACTCCTCGGCCTGTTCCGCATCACTCCAGCCTCTGCCTCCATCTTCACACGCCTTCTCCCACCTGGTATCTTCTCTTCTGTCTCATAAAGACACTCACCGTGGATTTAGGGCCCACCCAGGTCATTCAGGATGATCTCATCTCCAGACCCTTAGCTTAATCACATCTGCAAAGACCCTTTTCTTTCTTTTCTTTTTTCTTTTCTTTCTTTCCTTTTCTTTTGTTTTCTTTTTTTCTCTTTTCTTTTCTTCTTTTCCTTTCCTTTCCTTTCCTTTCCTTTCCTTTCCTTTCCTTTCCTTTCCTTTCCTTTCCTTTCTTTTCTTTTTTCTTTTTTTCCTACCAGAACATTTATTGAAATCCTTAAGATGAACTGGATGCCGCAACAGCTGCCCTTTTGGGTTTGGATGTTAATCCTTCACAGAATCCACGCCTGAATCTGCGGTATACAGTTTTTAGGTGCCTCATTCGACTAGTCCCAGTGGCCTTGGCACTCCAGTTATATTTTCTCTTGCGCTTGGCAGGGTAGCCGCATTTGCCATGGGTTGACTTCTTTTATTAATTTCTTTTCTTTTCTTTTCTTTTTTTTTTTTGGAGGGGTTTTTGCTATAGGGCAAGTACACTCACCAGAAAGACAGAAAGAGACAGAGAGACAGAAAGCGAAAAATCACCCCCCAGGGGGAATGGCCACTCTGGAA